GTTGACTTTGTGCAAAATTTCCAAAAATGGCCAACTTTGACAATGTATTTCTCTCTCAATTTTGACCCTAGGAGGGTGTTATTGGACTTTATAGAAAGCTTAGGATTTCCTCTAAACAATCCTTTTGGTTTCATCTCAATTGGATCTTCCATGTTCATGTAAGAAGCTTTGACCCAAAAGGTGTTTTTGTTGACTTTTGAAAAGGACCCATAATGTCTGATTTTATATCTTTTCATGAGTGCATTTCTTGAACTTGAGGGCTGAAGAGGTTTTGTAGGGAATTGGGTTCTCTTAAAAATGAGCCTTGGATGAGAAATTTCTGATAAAGTATGAGAAAGTTATGTCTGGTCAAAGTTTGGTTGACTTTTCCTACAAAGACCCTAATTTAGCAACTTTTGAGTTTTGATGGATTAGGAGCATTCCTTGAGGAATCATGGTCAACCCTTTATCAAATGATGGATACCACTTCAAAATATTGATGTTGACCAAAAATATTGAAGTTTGACTGTATGTGGGTCGCAATTGACTTTTGACCCAATACAATTGATTTTTAGGCATTTGAGCAGTTGACTGAGCAAACTTCTTGTGCAAAGCATGAAACTTGACATGGATGATCTTGAGAACATATTAGGGCAATGGAAATCATTTGGGACCCTTGGAACTCAAACATCTTGATGAAAATGGAAACCCTAGTTTGAGGGTCATTGTCTTAGGAGGAGGATTTGTCTGGTCAACCCTTAGTCAACCTTGAGCAGTTGAGGACCTCTAGAGGCATGTCTTTGAGTGAAATGAGAGAGCAAATTTTGGGGTACAACAGTGGAACAACCATTGTTGTAGCATCTCTCATAGCTTTCTTATTCCTCTATTGTGGAACAAATTTTGTTGCAGCCTCTCTTGCCGCTTTCTTGTTCCTTTGAAACCTCCTTCATTGAGTCCTCGTCATAGGATTCTTACCTTTGTAGGTGGGAGGAGCATGGTATTTCTTTGGGATGGTCCCCGTTTCAGTAAGTTTGGTTGAATTATATCCTTTTTTCATTATCTACCATTTGTTGGTCGAACCTGACCCTTTTTTACCACCTTCCAGTTTTGGTTTGCCCCCCTATGATAAAAGGGACAAACCCAGTTATTGTTGGGCACACCAGTTGGTGGCATAAAAGTTCTTAGATATGGAAACTTGGGTTTCTCTCGAGGCACTTGAACATTGTTTGTCCCCTTAGCATGGTCGAACACCACTTTTGGAGTTTTTTTTCCTTGATGGTGCTTTTTCTTCAACGCCTCAATCTTCTTTGCAGCTTCTTCGTCAAAGATCACATTATAGTTTGGGCATAACATGGATCTAAAATTACTCAACTTACATATGTTTAGAAAGTCTACCAACTCCTCTTCTGGTTTAGGAAGTATGACCTTCATTAATTCAGCCACCGTTTCCTCAGACAACTCTTCATCCTTACTGTTCATTTTTGCTTTGTCATCCTGATCACCCTCAGGCTTTTCAGCAAAATCAACCATCATCACTTCATATGGCTTAGACAGATTGTCATTGCCACCTTTGAGACCCTCGATAGCCTCGATTGTTGTAGCCAAACACGGTTCGTCTTCAAGACCATCAGTAGCCTTGAGCGTCAATGTTGCTAGGGAGTTGATAGTGTCTACATGTTCGTCTATGAGGCCCTCACTAGCCTCCAACATCAGCACTTCGAATGGCTCCACATAGTGTGCATCAACCACATATAAGGGTTCCGAGCCGATCTTCATAGTGTTCTTTGGTTTCTCACCAAATTTCAGTCGACCGTCTTTTAAAGCCTTTTGAATCAAATCCCTGAAAAGAAAATATTGAGAAGTACTATGACCCAAAAATTATGATATTTGCAAAAACCTCTTTTTTGTTTTTACTCTAATGGTGGATCCTTAGTGTCCGGGGGCATTATAATCTGACCATCTGAAACTAAAACATCAAATATTTCATCACATTTTGACACATCAAAAATTTATGTTTTAGTATTAGTGTTATCATTTTTGAACCTTCAACCGTCTTTTCGTAACTGCTTAGATCGTGGCAAGCGTGGCGTGTATTGTGACGTGGGGAACATAATCCATATCTGTCCCATTCGTAACATTAGACGTGCCGAGGGGCACAAAAACTAAGCTTGTCCCGGTTGTAAAACCTCTGTGGCGGGCGACACGCTTCTGTTTACAGAATGCTGCGTTTTGCTGTTTAATAGCCATTTCTTCTTCATTTTTTCCATTCTTTTTATTCCTTTTCTCATTTATGTCTTGTAAATGCTAAGTACCTGAAATATGTTGCAAATACTACAAAAAGAGATAAAATGTGACATGATAAACGAGGAATTGGAAATATAATCTATGTAAATCGGGAGGAAAATGATATATCTTTTCGTGTTATCAGGCACCTTACATCCCCTAGGTAATTCTACCTGTCGAATGTAATCAGGCAAGGGTGAAGAGTAATTGGGCCTCCAAAGGCCAACATTTACTCTAGATCTTGTTAATACTTCTTCCACCATATTTACTATGTTGTTACGTCCAACAGTGGAATTTCTTAACACTCAATCAACATCTTGGTTTCTCCTAACTACGACCGGCCTAGGTTCATATTGTTCAATGAATTCTTCCTCTTCATAAATGGGTGTTTCCACCCTTTAAGGTTTAAAAGGACGCTCATTGTTGCCCCCTCTAGCTCTTCAAAAACCCTGAACGGTCTATGGCGCGCTTGAGTTTGAGTTGGTTGGACCCCTAATGAGTCGATCGATCTACCTATTTGGTCAGCTACAAGGTTTAGGGCGACTCCCATTTGTTGAGTTAAAACGTTTACTAACTCTAAATTACTTTCATCCATTTTTTCCTTAAATCCATAACGGATGTAGTATTCAAAGATGGTGTCGACTACGGTACATAATTGACACCACTTGGGGCATAACTGCCTTGGTTCCTAGTGGCAACTGCATTTTCTCTATATATGGATGGATTCGACTGTAACCCAACCATCACAGAGTAAAGCATACCATATTGGTGAGGGACAAATGATGACCCTGAACCTCTTGGAAAGAGTGGTCGATTTGGGTCAAATTGTGTTACCTCATGCCTAGGTTATATCATTGTGACTGTTGTCACTAAACCATGAACTGCAGTCGATCTTACGGGAGATAAAACTGTCGCACTTTGAGTTGTGGTACTTACTGGTATAACATCCATATTTTATACAGAAATCTGTATATGTGCAGTGTTTAGGTCAGAATGTGGCATTTTAGACTTAGACAAAAGTTTACCACTTCTCAAATTCATACACACATTAACTATAAGAAACTTTGTGAAACTACACGCAAAAATTTGAAAATATTAACACTGTCCCACTGGGTGTGCCAATTTGTTTACCTCTGGATTTGGTAAACAACGATGGTCTCTTGAAAACAAGTTCACGGGCGAGGTCGACCAGGGAATCTCGGAGTAGGGCCTCATGTCGCGCGCGCAGTCAAAGCGTTTTTAAAAAGGGTGTGTCTGACCGAGAGCCAAACGTTTTAAGTTATAAAAGACAACAACGAAAAGACAAAGTAAAGGAGACGAAAAGCGTTTTAAGTTGTAAAAGATAATGACATAACATTAAAGAAAGATTGAAAAATAGGTTGGTTCAAACATACAGTGTTCGCTTGGTTACTTTGAGTGGCTAGCGTGCAGGAATGTGAAAAGTTTGATCCTTTTACAAAGTGTATTAAGTGCTTTATTTATAATACGCGAAAATAACTACTTTAATTTAATGCTCTTTAATGCTCTTTAAAGAGCCTTTTTGACTTTTGGTTTGGATTTCTCTCTTTATGAAAATCCCAGCCAACACTAACGTATAAGAATGTGAAAGTTTGAACCTTTAACACTATGCACTAAGTCCTTTATTTATAATACACAAAAAATAACTACTTTCTAGCAGACTTCGCTTATTTGTACGCCACATGTATCTTGTAACTCCTCTCAATTATCCCACATTCTCCATTCGTACTCTCGAAACCACGTTCTCCATGTTTCCCTCCAAAACGCCTTGCTCGCTTGATGGATCTTTTGGGTCTTTTGACGTTTTTAGACCCAATGACTTATGAGGTCTTCCTTGGTCGACTGCTTCTATTTTCAGGCTCAATCACTTACTTATAGAATCTCTCTAAGTCGACTGCATCAGTAGTCAAATCACATAAATCACCTTTTCTAAAGAACCTTTTTGAACCTTTTCTTTTGATTGGATTTTGGTCCTTGTCAAAAATCTCAACCAACAATGATGCATTTGATGGTTTCATTTATTACATTTTAAGTTATTTTTAAGGACGAGAATACATTTGACCTAATAATACTTCCTCCTTTTAAACTATAAAAAAGAAAGATAGATATTTTTTGTCCCAGATTATAAGAGAGAAAATTTTATTTATATTAATTTAAAAAATTAAATAAAAAATATATTTAATTTATTCTCTCGCATATTCTATAACCAATACTATTAAAAACGTTTAATTCAAATTATTATTATGTTTTATTTTTATATTAAATGTGAGTTTTATTTTTTCTCATATATTAGTGAGACTAGTCACACGAATAGGACAAAACCTAATCTCTAAGCCGACATCACCAATAGTGTTAACTAAAAACTATAAAAGCTGTAGCCAGTAAATACCTGCTATTGGATCAACCTGAATCATCGCAATTCAATGCCATATTTAACCCTATAACAATAAAGTAAAATACGTGCAGGTTGCCCCAAATCCTCATCCAAAAGGCATTTATAAATTGAAAGCAAATAGTATAAACAAATATAATTAAAATAGACTTTTATTTTTAATTATCTAAAAACTCACCAAAAATATTTGGAAAAATATATTTAAACTTTGTTGAACTCACCACAACTTTTACAACAACATTAAATCACTCATTCTCGTCAAAGCTCTCCAGAAGTGAAAATTGTTCCGTAACTGCAACTAATCCGTCAACAGCACCACCATCATAACATGATTTTCTCCATAACAGAACAGAGTCCATCACCACCACCACCACCACCACCGTCGCAATATGAGGTAAATCCGCCACCGCCATCTATTATACTGAAATGTTGATTAGATAGGGTTTTTGATATATGTGAGAAATCTTCTACTATACTCTGAAGTTATATTCTTCATGCTTCTATGCATAAGAAGAACTTTTTGAAAGAAATTAAAAATTTATATAAAACTTTGTTATTTACTCGAGTATAGATGATTGCATAGTTGATGGTAGCCACTGAGCGCAGAACACTAGTGCACTGAAGATATTTTAATTTTTTTTGTTACTTTAGATATTTTAATTTGTTTCACTACAACATTTGTTGTCTCTGGCAACACTTTTTTAGGTAACATGTAAAAATTGTTGCCTTAAATTCATATAGGCAACGATTTACGATTGTTGTCAAAAATATGTTTGCAACCCTTGATAATCGTTGCCTAAAATACTTTTGGGGACGTTTATGGAGCGATACTCTTTTATTTTTTTGCCAACGGTTGTTAATTGTGCCCTTAACTGCTTTTGGGGACGATTTTAGAGCGTTAAAATATTATTTTTTTAGCAATGTTTGACAATTGTCCCCTAAAATATTTTTGGGGACATTTTTAGATTGTTATATTAGTTCTAATAAAAGGCTACATTTCTGAAATGTTGTATAAATTTTTTTAGAATTATCAAATTTTTGGTGGCAATCTTCCCTCCAAAACTTATACACTAAAAAACAAATATTTTTCTCTAAACATTATTAATATATATAAAAAAAAATATTTTTCTAACACAGGAATTTAAAAATAAAAAATTTCAATTAAACAGAAAATAAAAAATTATATATATATATATATATATATATATATATATATATATATATATATATATATATATATATATATATATTAGTCTAAAACTTATATATATTTCAATTAAACAGGAATTTTTCTAACACACATATATTTCAATTAAAGAGGAATTTTTCTAACACATTATTAATATTTCTCTAAAACTTATATATATATATATATATATATATATATATATATATATATATATATATATATATATATATATATATATATATATATTTAAAAAAAATTCATTAAACAGAAAATAAAAAATTTTCTCACACAGAAATTTAAAATATTTTTCAATCCATTCCCGTTCCATTCTTCTCTCGCCGTAAGTCATCTCTATCCCATTCCATTCCTCAACTTCAATAACTGGCATCACTTTTCTCCCAACATTCTCACTCTCGCTGAATCCAGCTCTCATGATTCCGAAGCAAGTTCGAGAAATCAAGCTTCGCGTAACAGCGACTCCACTCGTTTATCGCTTACTCACTTCCTCGATCGCAAACTGCACAACTCTTCAACAGTCCCTCAAACCGTTCCGGTAAAATTCTGGATCCAAAATTACTCTTAGGGTTTCGGGCTGATTTAATATATATGGGATATGTTGAAGTGCGTTGATTTGTTTCATTTATTTGTTGTTCGTTTCGAAAGCACGTGTTTCTTTTCTTGGATGAAATTTTCTAATTTGTTTTTGAATAGGGGAAATTGACGCCTTTTCAATCACCGGCCAGTGAGCAAGATGGAAGCGTCAAACTAACTGAAGAAGAGAGAAAGTCTGCAACTGCTGATGAGAAGTTGATTTTGGGAATGTTCAAGCAAGAGGGCAAATGTGACTTTGTTCCTCCGTTAGATCTTGATGAGTTAGGAAATTCTGTGGCAGGTGATGGTCAAGGAGCTAGGAAAAGGAAAAATCCATTTGAAGGTTTGGATTCCTATCCCAATGAACTTGAGCACGCGTTTTGGCTCTGTTATTTATTATTCTGGCTCTGTTATTTATTATTCTTATGGGAAAGTTGAAACTGTTATTTAGGGAAATAATACAATTAAAGTGTCCTTGTCTTTTACTTTATCGACTAGTTAGTGATTGCAAGTGAGGTTCTTTGTTTAATTTATTGATGTCATAGAGAGATATTTGTTTCAGTCTATTTTACTTGGAATGGTCATGAAAAAAGATTTTATACTGACAACCATTTTAACTCCATTTTGGAAGATCAAGTAGGCACCATGTCTCTGATTTCATACCATGTATGCCGTTCATTGTCATATGCTTCTTTAGGAAACTTCAATGTATGCCATTATTTCAGATTTTTTGAGTTTGGTAGCAAGCAAGTATGAGTCTTGCACTGCTCTTAGGGTTTCATTGTTTGATTTTAAAGTTGGTTGGCAATCCTCTTTTCGGCCGAATATATTGATCAACTATAGATTATTCAGAGGAAGGCAAAAGAGTTGTATGTATTGGGTACAGGGATAGGACAGCTGCATAAGACTTGTTAGAAAGATCCTTGAATATTGACACTAGCAGGTGTGTTCAGCCTGTTGTTACTCATGCCGCTTGATTGAAAGGGTCTGAATGGATTGTTGTGAAACTGCGTAGAGCCGCCATTCATTGTTGGCAAATGTCCTCCAACTCCATTGAGAGAATTCATTCTGAAAAAGGATGTATCTGCAGAACTTCCTAAGGCTGCTGACATATTAGCTTGTTGGTTTTCCCCACAACTGACTTTTTTCAGATAGAGTCTATATTTCTGAAGATGGCTGGCCACATTCTCCCTTGTAAGCTTTTCAACATTCATCAAATCAAGAATCTTTTTCGGCACAGCCTTGTCAATGCCTAATTGATTAACAGCCGAAACAAACATGCGGTGCATGTCAGCATTCCAAACAACTCGAGGCTTCTTCTGTGCCGATGGATCCTCATCGTCGTTTTCATTCTTATCCTTTCTTTTTCTATATGGCTTCACATTTTGATCCGAACTTCCTGTCACAGCCGAATCTATTCCATTTACGCTATCCGAATTGCTTCTTTTACCTTTCTTCTTCCGAATCACATGCTGCCAAATAATTTGCACCTCTTTCAATCTAACAGGTTTCAGCAGATAATCACAAGCACCATGAGTAATCCCTTTCATCACCATCTTCGGATCATCATTCGCAGAAAACATAATGACAGGTAAATCCATCTCAAGTCCAATAAGCTCAAGAAGCTTAAATCCATCCATGTCTGGCATATGAACATTACTGATTACTAAGTCGAAATTCTTTTTGTTTTCTCTCAACAAATTCAGCGCGTCTATCGCATTTTTAGCCGTAGTTACGTGATATTGACACTTTAGGAGAAGTTTCTCCAAAATCATGAGACAAGTTCTGTCATCATCAACAGCAAGAACTCTCATTCCAATAGGAAATTTATCATTCATCTTATGTTCATCCACCACCAAAGTCATTTTCTGCTAATCTAAAAATCCAAAATCAGAATCTATCAAACAGAACCAAAAAAAGTGATTTTTAAGGAAGATTTTTCGTTGAGAAAAGTTAGAGAATCTTGAAAGACTGATTGAGACCACTGTTAGAGAGGCATGGAGAAGATATAAGCACAAAATTAAGAAGAATCATTTTTTGAAGTATTCCAATATGACCGAGACTCAAAAATCGTCCGCCAAATGTGCCAATATTTTGAGTCAACATAATATAGGAAATTCCAATTAAGGATGTTATAGGAGAATGCTGAATTGATGTGTATATAGATATACGGTGTAAGCATTTATCACACAATGCTTCCAAGTTTGTGAAATTTATTCTTATTTCGTTTCAAAATGTGATTATGACTTCCATATATGTAATGAAAGGGGGTTTATGCATGCATAGATGTATGTTTATTTTGATGACATCATTATTGCAAAATACTGAGGCTTTCTCATAAATTGATTTGTTACAGTGGATTTCACTTTGTATCCTTCTTATTAATATGTTTTCCCCTTAAATTTCTTACGACAGAAATGTTTTCAAAATGATATGTCCATAAACAATAATGTGATAGATGTTTTACAAGATCAAAAGTGGGCGCCTATGCCCTGGAAAAAGTTGCAGGTCGGAGATATTATCAAGGTGAGTTTGCAGTGTTCTATATGTTTCTGTGCTAGATTTAATTTTGTCTTGTATATGCTCCTAACTAGAACTTACAACCTCAAAAGAAGGGCATTATTAATGATCATTAATCCTATGCTTATGAACTTTCATTAGATGTTGGTTATCAGGTCCTCGGTGGCTGCAATCCTCCTAACATATGTTACGCTTTGTTGTGGCAGCACGTTTTCACTACAACATTTGTTGTGGCAGCAATCCTCCTAACATATTTACACTGTACATGCAATTCTGCATTTGGAAGATAATTCTGGATTTGCACTCATACCTCAAGTCATACACTTGTAATTAATCTATGAGTTTTTGTTAATGTTCGCTTCATAATCTTTGCCCAAGTATTTTTCTGAATCTGGTTTGCTTGCTTATATCAGACTGGGGCTATGGATGTGTCAGAGTCAGGACGTGAATATGGGGCTAAAAACACTGACGACACCCCTGTGACAGGCACTTCTCAGAAAACTCGAGGGGGTAAGTTATTCACATTTAACTGGTTATCTCGTTTGTGCAATCTGTTGTGCTATGCTTGTAAATGTATGTTTCGATAGTTGATGAGTTATTGAACTCTTGTGTCTCGATGCATTATTACTAGCCAAGCTATAAATTGTTGCTTTAGGAAGGATGTGTGTCAAGTTTAACATCACTGTGAAAACTCTATTAAATTACATAGTCTCTTGTGTTAATGATAGTCATGCAAGTTTGATATTTAAGTGTACTAATGCTTACTCTCTAGAGCTTATATATCATTTAATGATTTCATGATTTGATTATGATGAACGGACACTTTTTGGCATATGAAAACTAGACTTTTATTATGTTACCCTATTTATTTCACATACTATACAACCATCGGTGAATGTTAATAGATTTTAAACGGTGAATCCATGCATTTAGTTCCTTATAGGCATTTGTTTCACGTGTAGAAGTGTAAGAGAGCATCGTGTATTAACCTAAGCTTCATTGTTTTGGTTATGTATCATTTAGTTTTATTCTTATTATGATGGGGTTCCATAATTGATTCCTCATTGTCATATAATGCGCTGAATGTTTGTGATTAGTTGGGCATCTTTTCATATGATGCAATTTGCAAATACAATTTTGTGATTTCATGATGTTGGTTGGATACAAGTCACTCATTGGGCAATTTTCCCCCCTTCGTAACAGGTGCTGAATCTCGATTTCGGAAAAGAAGCAAATATTTATCTTACCCCTACACAAATAGTGAACCAAGACTTAAAAGTTTTCCAGCTGAAACAGAAGAATCAAAGACTCCAAGTCCCACCCCTAAAGCAAAAGCTTCAAGCAGAACCAGTAATCCTAAAAATGGATCTCTTTCATCAACTAAATTGGGTGGCACGAGGTTCCAAAATAACTGGTACAGAAAATTCATCAGCTGTAGTAAAATGTCTAGCAGTCCAAAATTCATCGGTGCATCTTCCAGTGACTTACTTTCAGGAGGTTTAATTCTTGTTGATTCTTGTTGATGTCTTAATTGTCCTTTGGACCAAAAATACTTATGGTTAATGTGTTTTATTTTATTTTCTTATGCAGCAATGTATCAATGAAGATGTTGAAAAGGACGATATAAATGATGAAATTCAAGAGGACGACATAAATGATAAAATTCAAGAGGACGACCTAAATGATAAAATTCAAGAGGACGACGTAGATGACGAATTTCAAGAGGACGACATAGATCTAGATGATATAAATGGTTAATTTCAAGAGGACGACGTAGATGAAGAATTTATGGAGGATGACATATCTAACGAATTTCAAGAGGACGATCTGGATGCTTTACTCCTAGAAGACAAACTTGAATGAGTTGGATGATGTCTTTTTTTTGGTTTGTAGTTGAAAGCATTAAACTTGAAATATGATTTTTGTTCTTTTGTTGAACTATGTTTTTAGTTATTTTACTAGGGTCATACTTCAAAGTATTAAAAATAATATTGTTACGTTAGGCATTTTGTGTACTCTATATACTATATCTTGAATTAAAGTTTGAACTCGATTTTATTATATTACAATTTTTATGGATGTATGGTTTAAGTTATATAATCAATATTATTTTTGAAGCCAATTATTATTGACTATATTATTTTGATAATAATTGCAAAATTGTATATTTTATGTGGACACTATAAAACAACAACCTATAAGCTATGGCTACACTTCAAAAACGATCTTCCTGATTCAGGTTTAAGGCAACGATTGTTAATTGTAGCCGAATTTGGCAACGCAACGCTTAAAAAATGTTGTCTCAGAGGCCATAAATAATCGTCCCCTATTCCTTTACTATAGGCAACGTTTTTCAAAAGCGTTCCCAAAAAACATAAAAAAACGTCGCCTCAAACAATAGGCAACGCTCGCACAGGAGACGCCTAGAAAACGTCCCCTATTGTTTTAGGCAACGATTTTCAGAGTTCTGGCAACGTTTTTCAATTGTTGCTGGAGAGCCTAAATGTTGTAGTGTTTGGAAATTACTAAACTCTACAAGCATGGGAGAAATGGTATTGCACATGTTCTTGCTTTTTTTTTTTTTTTTTTTTTGTTTCTGCACTTGGTTAATATCTTAATACTAATATAGAAGCCCCAGCGGGCAGCGGGCAGCATTGATTTCTATTTTTCATGGTTAAAGGACCAGACTATCCCTGAAAATTGGAGCTGAATGACTCATGATTTGAGCACAGACAACTTTTCTTTCAATTGATGTACGTAAGCTTCTTCTTTTTTTGATAAAATGTAGCTAAGCTTTTACACTTTATTATGATAATAAAAAAATCTATTAAACATTGATAATAAACATTAGATTTTATTCATACAACCCTTGAATGGGAACTTGAATTAATTAAAATGACATAGCAGTAATAGAAATAAATCACTAAACAGTTATTAAGATTCATAGTATAAATTATAGGACAAAACTAAATCTCCAAGCCAACATCAGGAGTTTAAACTTAGCTATAGAAATTAAAGGCAGTAAAATACTTTCTAGAGGATTGATTTGTATAATCACAATTTAATACCATATTTGACCCTGGAAAGAAAAACACTATAAAGGAAAATACGTCTAAAATCTTGATAAAAAAGTCAAGCATAAATAAACAAATAAATAAATTATAGATAAAACAGATATAAATAAAATGGAAATGATTTAATCCAAAGATCATTCAATAATAAAAAGAAAAACATTTAAATTATTTTTATAAGAAGAAAAAAAATCTAAAGTTTGATTGAACTCACGGAAACTGTTTAAAAACCAAAACTCAAGATATAAAGTTTGAACAAACTCATAGACAGTGTTTACTTTACCTGCAAATATTTCATAATTTCACAAGCACACAACACTTGCAACAAAACTAGTTCTCAGCTAGATAGATATAACTGAAATTAAAACCAAAATGTCTCAAACTCATGCCGAATCCAGCACCGTGTATGTAGTAGAACTGTAGATCCAGGAAAACCTAGGGTGAAAATCTTTCCCAGAACTATGATAACAGATCCGTCAACAGAACCACCACATAATCAGGTTTTCACTGTACCCGGACAGAGTCATCCACAGTCACCGCCGCGGCATCAGGTGAATTCGGTGAAGTGTGGTTTGTTAGGGTTTAAGTGAGAACTCTTTCACTTCACTGTGTATATTTATTTACATTCTTCAATCTTCACCTTATTTATGTGGTTTATGATTTGGGGGAAAATAAGATTCTAAAATGAGATAAAAAATTTGTGTAGAAACTGTAATTTCCTTGCAAACTAGGAAAGGTGATTTCAATTTCATAGATGACAGTAGTAGCCAATGAGTGCAGAACAGTGAGACGAAGATATTTTCTTTTTTCTCTTCCAGCTGGAGATATTATCTACTTCAAAGGGTTTTGTTTTGGCATATTTTAATTTTAAATATTAAATATTTGGGAGAGGGAAAAAACTACAAGCGTGAGAGATGTGGTCTTTCACACGTTCTGCTTTTCTTGCTGTTGCATTTCTTTGCATTACATATATTGCAACTAGCAAATGCTTCTTTATTTATTATTTATATTTTGGTCTGTTGAACTTGAAACTCTACCATTTGGTGTCTAAAAGAATTTTTTTTTATTATATATTTTCCAAATATATAATAAAAAAAAATTATATACAATAATTTAAAGCATACAGATTTTCTTCTTGAGCATGACATTAATTTAAAATATAATATTACTATTTATGATTTTCTTCTATTTTTATTTAATAGAAACCTTAATTGCGGAATCCATTTGTATTTCAGTTGACTACATGTTACAACTGCTGTTTAAATTTAATTCAATTTCTTGTAGAAAAAGTATTAGAATGACGTAGCAGAAATTGTTTTTTTTTACAGTTAGCAATCAATAATTGAAAATAAATTAGTGTTAGTCATATATATCTTCAAATAAACTTATATATAATGATGATGTACAAGTAAGAAAAAATTATGGGAGTACAAGGCACCAACCAAGCCCATGCATATACATGAAAATTAAGGTGCATAATAATTATCTTTTTAAAATATATACGAAACAAAAGGAAGCATAACAAAACACTCCCCAAAAATAGAAAGAGAAAAAAACAAAAAAAAAAACGGCCAGACAAACAAAAACAATTTTGACAAACACGTAAAATGTTATAATTAGTTGTTAAATTAGTTTTTTTTTTGGTAAAAAAAAATAGTTTTTTTATTCATCCATCAATAAATATGGAACTCAACTTTTCTATTTTTTTTTAGCTCTAAACATTTGAATTATAAAACCTCCAATTTGATACATAAATTCAATTAAAAAACTTATAACATAAGGTTTACAATATTACTGTGTGTTTTAATATAATTTCTTAATTCTTATAATTTTTTTATAAAAACAAATAACTGAGTGAGTGATAGAGATGAAAAATTTTAAATTTGCAATGAAATATTATCCGGCTTGAGAATAAAAAGTTTTCATAAAAAATATCTTTTTGAGATGAGATGTATCAATGTTGTATATAAATTATTCTTAGTCATAATTCTGAAACAATGTGAGATTATATATATATATATATATATATATATATATATATATATATATATATATATATATATATATATATATATATATATATATATACACACGTATATTTCAGAATCAAAATGAAATGAATTTATTCAATTCATAAATATAAATTAAAATAAATATGGGGATTTTAGTGTGATAACTATCTCAAAAATAATATGTTCTTTGTAACATACTCACTTTTCATTTTAGTCCCTCAATCTTTATATCAAAATGGTCCTTATAATTTTTTTAATTTCATTTTGGTCCTCAAAAACTTTGTTTTGGTCCTTAAAAATAATATTATTTTTCATTTTAGGTCCCTAAAACTATTTTTATTTGCACTTCAGTCCCTACATGACTAATTGAGCTTAAAAAATATTAAAATTAAAAAGAAAATTGCATTTCAGTCTATGTCATATGCATAACTTACCAGCAGATTTAGATTTTAGTGTAGATAAACATGCAAAATTCCATTTAAACAAAACTTACAAAGTTTTATTTTCTATAAGTATCATTTACTTGATCTAGAACTGGAATATAACCTGAATGGCAAATATTTTATATTTAAAAAAAACACCACACTCACACAGAAAACCCAGAAATACATGCGTCTGAAACTGAAAGCTTAAACATATCAGTATCCATCTCAAGTTAGGCCAGAACAAGAAACTAACCTTATCATAAATCAGATGAACCCCAATTAGCTATGCATCTTGAAGTACCAAAAAATAGGATAGTGAAATTACCATGTATACATTGTGCAATAACTATAAGCTCATAATGTTAGAAGAGAAGCAATTAGAACTGGACTGAGTAATCCTTTGCTTCCTTATACTCAAAATTAAAATGTTTCATAAATACAAATATACAAAAAAAAATACAAATATGTATAAAATGTCTCATAAATAATATAGGCATAAAATTGGCTTATCAAATCTAAACTCCAAATTAATAAATTTGAACGAACTAGCCAAACTAATATGATAGTTCTTGTGTTTTTTGTCAAATGAAATGAAAGTTCTTGCACTCCAAAACAAATAATATATATATATAAAGTGTGAATGAACACAATGGTAAAAGTAAAGGCGTTAAATGATTTATATTTCATTTTCCATTTGAAAGTAAGCACGGAAAACAGTGAGAAATTTCACCATTGTTCATCAAGCAGGTTAAAACAGTAACTACCTACAATAAAACCAAACAGAACCTACCATATCAGCAACAGCCACCACGATCTGATTTTCAATGTTACAAATAGAGTTCTCCGCCATCACAAACCTTGCATCCGCCAGAGCCGCCACCGCCATCACTTGCAGGTAACCACCACTTGTTAACTAGGGTTTCTCAACTCACTGTATGTTTCTTAGCCGTGGTTTCTGATTTGGGGGAACACATAGTTCAAGAAAGAGATTAACAAGTTATTTAGATCAGTTTCTAATATGAGAAAAAAAGTTGGATCTGTTTCAGATTTGCAGTGCTGAGAGAGTTGGAATGGAAGGCACTATATAGATCAACAA